ATCGAGAGTCCAATATAGACGTCAATATTTTTTTAATTTGTTTATTGTTTTTATTAATTACTAACATAATTACTGACTCATAAGTATTTGTCTCTATAATTGTTTCAAAAGACGATGAAATAGTATATAATTAACATTAACGTCTTAGCTACTAGTATATGTTAATTGTTCAAAATTACGAGTGCAGCAGTCATTTTAAATTCATTATGTATGGTATATTGAAGTATTCAGATTTATCTGTGTATATTATACGCAAAACTAAGCCACATTTGATAATGAAATTCTTATCATTCCCATTACTATAATATCATACAATTACAATTGACAATAACTTTATTGTGATAAACAAGTTTGTAAATTCTAAATTTCAAAAATTATAATTAAAAAAAATAGAAATTAGGAATTTAAATTCATAAATAATTAATGCATAATAATTAAAATTTTGAATTTTTATTAACTTGTAGAATATGTCACGGAGTTTCTTATTTACATTACGTAATATGATCATATTTACTTACAAACATAACCCCCGTACTACTAATAAAGTTGTGAAAAATACTGTAATTAACATATTTTTGAAATAATTATATTATTACAGTGTAAATAAGAATATATGTTTTATTTTTGAGATTTTAAAAGTTTATGCAAGATAAGGTTCTCATTAAATCAATTCGTTGGCAAAAGTCTATCTGAGAAGAGTAAATAGAAGATGCATACTTACACGCTATAAGATATCGCAATATATGCGTTAACGATACGTAACTAGATAAACATAACTAATCAGACGTGAGAAACAAGACAATGAGATTTTAACATTTAATGTGTACGTTTTAACGAACTAAAAATTAAAACTCTTTCAACACTATGAATATGTTATTGAAATCGATCTTTACACGTAAATAATTATGTCTTTCTGATGAACAATTAAGTAAATTACTAAAATCGAGTGAAGAATTTATATTAAATACATAAAAATAAAAAGAGATCGACGCGCGCAAAATAACTACTTAATTGAATCAAAGATCATACAAAATATGGCTTACGAGTCGAATAAAGCAAATTTTCTATATTTATATCTTATCGATGTGAACCTGGCGCCCGACTCTATCAAAAATAAGAATTGAAACCGTAGCGCGTTTATACTTCGTTTGTACCGATCTTCATTTCGTTTGTACCTCAAAGAGTACAAAAATAAGTAAATTACAAAAATGGCCAGCGCCCAACTTCAAAATTTCCTAATTTTGCTTATGCCATTTGAAAGAGAATCGTTTGTACCTGTTCGTACTTTCCTTATTTTCGTTTGTATCTCAAGGGGTTCGGAAGTACAGTGTTTTCAAAATTTCCAAAAACGCTAAGAGGATAAGTCGGCCATTTTAAATGATATTGAGACGGGACCAAAACTCGAAAGATAATTATTTATATCCGTTTGTATCTCCCTTATTTTGTTTGTATCTCAAGGGATTCGGAGATATAGCGTTTTTAAAATTTCCGAAAAACGCTAACAGCTAGAGTAAGAGTCGCCCATTTTAAGAGATATTAAAACGTAACCAACGGTACTCGAAATAGAATCGTTTGTACCTCCCTTATTTTTGTTAGTACCTTTTCGGAGATACAGCGTTTTCAAAATTTCCAAAAAACGCTAAGAGAATAAATCGGGGATTCCATTTTAAAAGGGGGGAACCCCACTTGTAACTTTGAAAAAAATCGATTGTTTGTTTTTTGCATTTTTTTGAAGTATAAATATCTGAGAATACGTCCTTAAAATTTCAAATCGATCCGAGCAAAATTGACTGAGATATGAGCGTTGAAAGAGAAGAATCCGTTGCGTAGAGAACTAGTTAGTCTGCCGTCTGCCGCGCTCGCGAAGGACGAATGAAGAGAAGACAGTAGCAAATTGAATTTTTAGAAGCGGCATCAACGGTGGAAGAGCTACTGTATGAACCCGGAATAGATGACTCTAAGTTTTAAGAAAAAAATTGTTTTCTTCGTGTAAACTGAAGTTGAAACTTTAAACGCGTTTTTCTCGAAATAGCATTTTTAAAATCGGTGACCAAAATTACTCGGAAACTACTGATCCGATCTTTCTGAAAATTTGCAGGCTTATTCAATACATAAAAACGTAGTCTTTAATCGTTCGATTTTATTTTTCGAAAAAAATTGCCCGTTTTATAGCCAAAAGACGACCGTTTTTTTTTCAGTGAATATCTTATCATTGACTTTGACTGTCCGCCATTTAGTCAAAAATGATTATTTTTTTAAATCCATCGATTAAAGACTAGTTTATGTTGTTATTTAACTAAACCTATTAAAATTTTGTGTTTCGGATGATCCTGTGCGTCGCAATGTTGGTCACAAAATGTATAAATTTCAACATACGTTCTTTGACAGCCATTTGTACAGCAACCATGAAATATTTTTCAATAAAAAAATTACTAAAAGGTGTTCAATGTATGTACTTTAAGATGATATATTGATCTCTTAAAAAAGTTTAGTAGTTTGCGTTAAAAAAATTCACGAAAATGACCGATTTTTTCGCGCTGCAAGTGGGGTTCCTCCTTAAGAGATATCGAAACACGGCCAACGACCTTGAAGGGTTCGGAGATACAGGCGTTATTCAGTTTTAGAAGTTTTGAAAACGCTGTATCTCCGAATCCCTTGAGGTACAAACGGAAATAAGGGAGGTACGAATTAACGGGTACAAGCGATTCTCTTTCGAGTACCGTTGGTCCCGTTTCGATATCTTTAGAAATGGTCAACTTATACTCCCTTAGCGTTTTTTTTGGAAATTTTAAACACGCTGTATCTCCGTACCTTTTGAGGTACAAACAAAAATAAGGGAGATACAAATTGATACACAAATAATTCTCTTTAGAATGGCATAAGCGAATTAAAAAATCTTGAAGTTGGGCGCTGGACATTTTTGTAACTCACTTATTTTTGTAATGTACTCTTTGAGGTACAAACGAAATAAAGATAGCTACAAACGAAGTACACAAACGCGCTGCGGTATCAATTTTTATTTTTGATAAAGTCGGGCGCCAGGTTCACATCGATTTATATCTTTATTACATAGCTTCTTGTGACATCTTTTAATAAATAAACATATATCTCTAAATTTTTTATAATAAATTCTTACGTGTTGTCGTTTAAATCATAAAATTCGTTTCATTGTAAACAATCCAACTACTCTGCATACGTTTAAGTAAATTTGTCAAGTATGCATACGTAAGCACGCATGTGCAAGTTTATTGCAATATATAGGAGCGTGTGCATGACAAAATAGCACAGTTATTTTGACTTGTGCAAGCGACTGAAGCAAATATGAAAATTCATTCGATTTAAATAAGTACTTACACATCAAACTGACGTGCAGAAGTAAAACGGAGCATACGTACGGCGAGCGAGAGCGAGAGCGAGAGCGAGAGCGAGAGCGAGAGCGAGAGCGAGAGCGAGAGCGAGAGCGAGAGCGAGAGCGAGAGCGAGAGCGAGAGCGAGAGCGAGAGCGAGAGCGAGAGCGAGAGCGAGAGCGAGAGCGAGAGCGAGAGCGAGAG